GGGAAGGAAGGAAGGAAGTCCCCTTAAACAAGGTACCAAAAAGCATCATGATGTAAGATTTAGTTTATTACTTGCTTTATGACATTTGCACTTTTTAGAAATGAAAGGCTTTGAAGATGCTCTAATCAGGTGGAAGGAGAAGTCATTGGTAGCATGTCTCATCCTTTCCCCTGCCCCATGAAGTTCATGGAGATAGACTCAGTATCAGCCCCAGACCTCTAAAAGCTCATCAGCAGCCTTTTAATCATCAGCCCCTGCAGTGCTAGAGAGATCTGGGGTGCAGCGTGGTCTGTAGGCTGCTACACTTGCACAGCAGCTTTATTTTAGCAGGAGCCAGCCCGAAAGTAGGCGGAGACAGCTCAGAGCTGGCTTGGAGACAGAGTGAGCGAGACCTGGCGCCAGGCTGAGGAGTCTTGAGGGAGTAGGGGCTGGGCCACTGACCAGGCTGTGGAGATGCTTGAGGTCTGAGCTAAGGCAACTGCAGCTGTAACCAAGGCAACCACCGGAGCCAGGTTTCCAATCAGACATCAAGTGAGCAGTGTGCTGTTGGTGAATGGGCCAAGCAGAAATCCTTTGAAGGGTACATCCATGAGTGTCAGGACCTTTCCAGTCCCGGAGCCAGATGGGTGGACCCTAGCCCAGGGAGGAGATTGGGCATGTGTAAGGCAGAGGAGAGGGCGCTCTTAGTTTGGGGTTGGGCACTGAGCTGGGATCCCTAGGAGTGGATGGAATCACCTGTTGGCCATTCAAGGATTTACAGCCTAAAAGGAGAGCTGATTCCTACCTTCTAGATGCTAGGCCAAACATGGTGGTGGATGGGGAGGTTGTGGGTGGAAAAGGCTTGGAAGGGAAGTGCCCTAACTCAACTAGGGGGCATGGGGAGTTGTCACTGCCCTCTGGCAGCATCCTGGGGGAATATTTGCGAAGCTACATGACTCTGGTGTTTAACACCTACGACACTGTGATGGGTCCTGGGTCTGGGAGACTGGATTAACTCTAAGCCCAACCAGATGGTGGGAATGAGATGCTTCATATGTTGAAATAATTCCTGTCTCAGCCTACTCAGGGAGAACGGGGGAAGAAAATGCTAGATCCAGCTGGGAAAAGCAAGTCTGGAGCTAACCGAGATAAGGAAAAAAATGTTGGCACCTGTTATAAAACAGAAGGGCATAAACTATTTGTGAAATGTAAGATGAAGTATGGAAACTGGAGGGCTCAGCTTGTAAGACTCAGAATCTGGCCCACAGCTGCTGAATGAAAGGCATAAAGCAGGCTCCAGCTCACCCATTCACCAAGCTGGTGCCCTTTGCTGGTTCTCTAGTTTCAGTCTGACTCCTTTGTTCCCCGGGGAGTGGACGCGAGTATTTTGAAAATTCAACAAATAACATGAAGCCTCAAGGCCAAGCATTTTCTGTGTGCCATACTCTGCTCAGGCCTTCACGGACATTAACTTTCTCATCTTCCCAATGGTTTGGAACAGATTCTTCTACCCTTGCCCTATACATGTGGAAACGGAGGTTAATCAGACAGAGAGGTGAATCAACATGCCCAAGGTGACACGGTTTGTAAGCAGCAGAGTAGGGACACGAATCCAAAGTCCTGGCTCTGTAGCATAACACTGCGATCATGCAGTTAAACCATTTTAAAGAAAGTCACTACGTTGGGAAGTTCTCAAGACCTATCGGAGCCTTGGCTAACCTAATTACGTGAAAATGTGAGTCGCCTGCGGTCCCTATGGAGGAGGAGTCTTTATGCAGGCTGAATCTTAGAGACTGAGGGGCCACAGGTGCTTTTAACAAATAGTCCTTATTTTGCTGAAATCTTTCTTTTCACCAGTCAGTGGGAAAGGGTTCACATAGATTCTGTATGTTTAAAAA